CTACCTTTTCCTTTCCTAATACCCTTTATTATTATATTTATTCCATTCAATGTATTCCTACCTCAAAATCCTCTTTTTGTTTTAGTTAGTCTATTTTGTTTCTTTTCCCCCAGAAAAGAAATCTGTGGTTTCTCTCACGGGGTCCAAGAACCTACAGGGTTTAGTGGGACCATTAGGACCGTGACGGAGCTGAAGCTCGAGGGCAGCCTCCCTATCTATTATCTTTTCCAACAAGACGTGGCACCCGTAGGGTAGAGCTGGCACTGTCACAGGGCCCTAGGGGTATCATGGCCATCTCTAGGGAACCTACTCCATGACAAAGTGCAGTTTCCCAGAAACCCCTGCACCTATCTCCTTGAAACTTGGCAGGCTTCATGGCCTCAGCAGGGGCTACCATGCCTGCTGTTTTCATCCCACTCCACCTTAACACACACACAGTCAGTGGCGACGTGTAGGGGGTGCACAGGGGTGCATGTGCACCCCCTGAGAGCACTGGTGCACCCCCTCACCTGCCATGCTCGCCGCTTAAGCAACAGGCAGAGGGGGGGCAGGTGAGAGCACTGCTGCCCCCCCTGCAAGCACCAGCTGGGGAGTGGGCAGTGATCGGCCATGGAGGGACTCCTCCACCCACCCGTCAGTGGGATTGGCCACAGAGGGGACCCCCCCATCACTGACTGGTTGCTGGGGGGACACATGTCCCCCCTGACTAAGGCGGCACCAGTCACGCATGCACAGTCACACGTCACGAGTTTTGCTTGTCAGCACCTTGAGGTGCAGTTTCCCAGAAAACCCTACACCTATCTCCTTGAAACCTGGCAGGCTTCATGGACTCAGAAGGGGCTAGCATTCCAGCTGTTTTCATCCTGCTCTACCTTAAGCACACACAACATGAGTTTTGCTTGTCAGCAGCTTGAGGTGCAGTTTCCCAGAGACCCTTGCACCTATCTCCTTGAAACTTAGCAGGCTTTGTGGCTTTATCAGGGACTACCATGCCTGCCGTTCTCATCCCCCTGTGCCTTCACACTTGCAAGTGACATGAGTTTTGCTCTGAACAGTTTGAGATGCAGTTTCCCAGAAACCCCTGCACCTATCTCTTTGAAACTTGACAGGCTTTGTGGCCTCCCCAGGAGCTAACATGGCTGCTATTTTCATTCAAAATCGGGAAACAAATGACAAAGTTATAGGCATTTTCATGATTCCCATTATAAACTATGGGCGAAACGTTGAAACTGTCGAAACAGTGAAACAGTTTTGACGAAATGAAATGGAACAGTGTTTTGAAACAGTGAAACGAAACACTGTCCCTTCGAAACGGCGCTGTTTCACACAGCCCTAGCTGACTTCCTGCCCCTGGGGTAGGGGGCTGGACTCAATGATTTTACGAGGTCCCTTCCAGCCCTAATATCTATGAAATCTGTAAGTGCAAAGGTCTCTCCATGCAGTTCTCCTTGCAGACTACCCCAGGAAATGAAAACATTTATAAACAGGTATCTAAAGCAACTGTGATTAAGAACTTGAAAAAGGTAGTTTCTCAAAGTAATAAAAGTGAGAAAATTTTCCTGAACCAAAAGGGTTTTTGGGGGTTGAACAAGATGACCTCCTGAAGTTGCTTCCAACCCTAACTTTCTATGGTGCCATGTATTTCAGAGAAATATCCAAGAACAGAAAAATAGAGATTGCTCTTTATTTCTAAAACAGCAAAACTCATTAAAGGCTAAACCAAACTACCAGCTAGAGATTCTAATATTGTTTCAAATGAAGTCAAGTTGCCTGCCAGCCGTCAGACAGTTCATGTATTTAACTACCTACTGACCTGTAAGTAAATTCTTAATAGTTAAAGTAATTGTTGTCTCAGTCTAAATGTCCTGCATATTTGGAAGAATTTTTAGCCCTAGAAAAATGTGTTTTTAAGCAAATGGCTCCTAAATAAAGAATTTCTTAAAAGAAGATGCCATTGCTCTCATTACTGGTTTATACTTCATGCTGTGACATATTTTATAAAACTGAATGAGTCATAGAGAATTATTTTGAAATAATATGATCTGATTGCTCTAACCTATAGAAGCACGACATAATGGAAATTACTAGACCAAAGTACTAACAGTCTTCCCCTTCCCCCCAACCAAAGGATTTCCTCTTCTAGAAAATAATACTAAATACTCATTAAGTTTTTACTAGAAAAAATGCACTGAATTCATCAAGGGAACATCTCATAGGAACCAGTACATGTAACTTTTCAATACTGTTATGATTATTAATATTTATCAAGGGTGATATTCTGCTGTCTCCAAATTGTCCATATAGATGGACATTTGCTGGATGTCGATTGATGCAATCCAGCATAGAGGCAGCATACAGGGAACCAGGACACAAAGAACCTGTACAGCCTGGTACTGCAGGTCATAAAATTAAATGCTAGTCACTGTTGCAGTGCTGGACGGGCATGGAACCATGTAGACAGTGTGCACTTTTTGGACAAAGAGGAGCCCTATGTTAGGTGAGCTCCCCGCAAACTCCAGGAAGGAGGGTGGCAAGAGGCAGAACATGAAAAGGCCACATGACTTCTTACCAACTGGAACCTGCCAAAGTACTCTTCAGTAGGGCTGTGTGAAATGGCACTGTTCCATTTTGCCTTGAGTTTCGACAGTTCAACGGAACAGCATTCCATTTCTAATTTAATTTTGATTCAAAACAGCTGTTCCATTCCTTTCCATCGAAACAGAAAGGCTGTTTCGATGCTGTTTTGACGTTTCGCTGGGGATGGGGACTCAGTTGGGCTGAGTCCCCGTCCCCAATGCTAGATTGCTCCGGGGCGGGAAGGCAGCCCAGCTGGGGCACCATCTAGCCAGGGGATGGGGAGGCAGCCCAGCTGGACTGACTTCCCATCCCCAGCACTATGGTTGAAACGTTTCGACTAGCCTTGTTTTGTTTCGAGGCTATTTCGATGGCCTTTGTTTCATTTCGATTTTGCTATTTCTACCTCAAAATAAGTCGAAACAGTGTCAAAACAAAATGCCCATCAAAATTTTGCACAGCCCTACTCTTCAGCCCCAGAAGGAAATGGATGCTCTGACCCATCCATCTCTCCCAACTTTTGCCTCCTGTTGTGTAGATAACTCACAGCACACAGAGGATGTGCCCACTGAATACTCTTTCCACACTGAGCTGCCCCCACACAGTGGAACAGCACTAGTGTGATGAATCCTGGCAGATGTCTTGTCTTGTTAACACTGCCCAATGGGATTTCTTCTACCCTGCTCCCTTTCATTAGCAAGTGAGTTCCAGGGAGGCAGAAGGCAGAGGGTCAGATGAGGACACAGACTCCAGTCTATGCTTTCTAGAATATTCCTGTTTGTTATGCAATTACTTTCTAGTGCAGGATGCATAAACAGTGTGGGAAACAGGTTACAACCCAGGTTTCAGCCTTCCCAGCTGAATGCCCTGTGTACTAAGCTATGCAGTCAGGTTCCCAATAGATTTTACAGGCTTGGTAGCTCGGTGGGTCAGCTTCAACATGAAGGATAAAGAAGTCCTCATCTCCTTCCCACAACTATTTTATTACCTAGTCATTAGGAACTTCCCCTGGGAAGTGGACAGTGTATAGTTGAAGCTCTCTGATATACAAGTCTAGAACTGAAGTTTCCTATTTTCTGCTTGAGTCCTCTATGTACTAGGTATTGCAAGGCACTTCACCCTCCTGTGGCTATTTTTTTTTAATTAAAATTATTATAATTGCTATCTTTTAGGCTGGACTCAATATTGTTTGTGTGTACTAGTGAGCATAAAGTATGCCCATGGGATTGGGCCTCTCAAACTAAGCAGAACTAAGATATAGCTTTGCCCTGTTTTGGTTTGGGACAAAATTTTAAGTGGGAGATAGCTGCTCACACAAGGGTGCTTCTGCACATGCACAGAAGACTGGGGTTAGGTGTCAAGAGAACCATCAGCATCAAAATGCAGCTACTATATGAATTTAGGAGCCCAGTGGTTTTGCAGGTAATGGACTGAACTATTCTGGATTGGGGTATTTTTGCCTTAAAACCAAAATTCTGTTTTAGGCACCAAGGGGCCTTTTTCACCCTGCATCTTCTTTTGCTAGATCTGCATTTAAGAGTTACCATAAGGTTGTAAATACTACAGCTTCTGTGTCCAGAAGTGAGAGATCAAGGAAACATCAAGCATAGGAAACTATGGTAAAGACAGATAGAACCTGTCTTACATTAATGCTCTTCATTGTGAAGTTACTGACATCTCTGCCAGCATGAAATGCTTTTGTTAATTAGGAGCCCATTATAGCAAAGCAGCCTTCTCCTGCATAGGTCATCCAACTGGGTGTGAAGCAGATACAGTCACTCATCACCAATGTGTCTTAGAAGGCTGTTATTAAATTTGAACCCTTAATACTTTTACTTGAATCACAGATTTTCAAGTCTCCAATACCTAAAAATATTCATAACACTCCTGCACTTTAATTGTTAACATATCTTCAGCCTCTTCCTCTATCAAGACCCAACAGGCATCTGAATAAAAATAAACTTATATTCCAGTTCACAGATGCATTCTGAAAAATGACCAGGCATTTTCTGTCTAAATCATGGTTCAAAACTACATTAATCGCAGAGCGATCTCCTGCAGAGACAGATTTAAAATGTCACATTTCTCACAATTAAAGTTTCCCTTTATTCTTGGCTTTTACTTTTTTTCTCTAATAGAAACAGCATTCATAATGATCAAGGAAAGCGTGTTGCAAAGTAAATTTTAGGTGCTTCAGAAGTACTTATTTTTCCCAACATTTTTGCAAATTAAGAGTTCATAAAGCCACTTTTAAGACATATTTTCAATTACTCAAAATCTTTCACTACAAAATGAATCCAGGGCCTAGTGAAGTCAGTAAGAATTCTGACATGGTGTTCATGAACAGTAAAAGTGAGACCCAAAGTTACATGAGATCAGTAGTAATATGAACATAAATTACTTTAATCACAAACAAATCCCCTTACCTTTCATGGGTCCTTCTGTGTTGTGGTGCTGAACGAAGGAGGCCTCCTATATGGAAAAATAAAATAAAATCTTGTCATGACAAACGCAGGTATTTTTAAAGAAAATACATGGAACCCACAAAACAGTTTCTATATATTATTGTATCAAAATTGTATTTTAAATTTAAAGAGAAAGCATAAGAAAAAAATCAGGATTTCATAGAACTCAATATATATAAAATGGAACATTAATGAATAAATTAGGTCAGAGCTGTCCAATTTTGGCATGACAGGGAGCTACATGTGGTGCTGGCATTTAGCCCCTGGCCCACCCACAATGCCATCCACATGCTGCAGGAGAGGTCCCTTTGGGATTCCCAACACATCGGCTGCACCAGGGGGACACAGCTCCGCTGCCATCCAAACTGCGGGCTGTGCCAGTGGCACACAAAGTCCTAGTCTTTTTCCCACCGTGCAGCAACTGCCCACCAGTTAGACACCTGAGTTATGTCAAACCTATGAAAGAAGGCAGGGTAGATTTGCACCTCATAGACTAATTAAATCAGAGATGTATAGCATAAAACTTTCATATGCAGCAAATTGTTCAATTTATGTTGCCCTTCCTGCCAAAAGCTCAGAGCAGCTAACAAGAAGAGAACAGAATAACTTACAAAACAGTTGAGCAACAAGAGAACAAAACAACATAAAAGGGAACTAGAATATCAACATGAAACAGAGATCCCCCAAACAATATTTCAGTCTAGCTTTGTTTGCTAAATGCCTGGCCGAAAAAGAATGTTTTACAGTGCTTCAACAAGATGTCCAGACTCAACCTCTGGCAGCCCTCATGAGAGAGGGAGTTCTAGAGCTAAGGACCAACTTCTGAAAATGACCTTGCACACATTTTGTCAAGTGGACTCAGTATATTGATAATGCTTGCCAGAAGTTGCTCTCAGCTGACCGTAGGTTTCACAATGGGGTATCAGGAAAAAGGGCCAGACCTTTTAGGACCTTATAGGTCAACCCCAGCACCTTGAATTGTGTCTGAAAAGCTACTGGGAGACGGTGCAACTTCTGGAGTAGTGGTGTTAAATGGTTCTGTTGAAGCTTTCCCATCAGGAGGGCTGCCACTTTCTGCACCAGTTACAGCTTCCTGATGATTTTCAAGAGAGCCTTATACAGAGCATATTACAGTAGTCTAGCCTTGAGTTTATGAAGGTATGGATGATGAAAGCCAGATCCAAATCTGAAAGAACGGGTTGCAGACCCCTCACCAGAAGCTTACTGGGACTTCTTGGGGAGTTGATGCTGATGTGCCAGTCTACTCTAGTCTACTCTTAAACAGAATACTGTGTCCCAATCTGGTTAACCAGTGCTCATACTGATAAGGGTGACATACAATTCAACCAAACAATGCAAATCATTACAGGAACAATCTGATCCATCCCTCTTCAATGACTCCCTATTCTTAGTAACATACATACTCCCCCATTAAGAAGAAAAAAATGCCTTAACTAAATTATAAACTAAATTTAAAAAAAATAGCTGCAGCTACCTTTACACAAAGATCTCTTAAACCCACCAGGTCTGAGATTAAAATCGAGACATCCCACTTGGAGAACAGCACTTCAAGTTGAGCAAGGCTCATTTAACATCCAAGATGCCTGGATGCAAGGGTGGGTCAATTCACCCCTTAATACAGAAATTATTATTACATAATTGGTGCTCAACGTCAAAGAGCAGTACTCATCCTCAACCAGCAGGATGGGGTCAGAGGACGGGCAGGCTGAAGTGCTCTGGGTCAGGATACAGGGGGGTCATGGGGAAAGGGATTTAACAGTGGGGGTCTACTACAGACCTCCTAACCAAGGGGAAGAGCTGGACCGCAAATTCTTGGGTCACCTTGTGGAGGCACTTAAGGCAAGGGATGTAGTTGTCATGGGTGATCTAAATTACCCGGACATCTGCTGGGAGGAGCAGTCAGCCAGGTCTGACCGCTCACGGAGGTTCCTGGCTAAGATACAGGACCTCCAATTAACCCAAGAGGTGCATAGTCCTACCAGGGGGAATGCCCTGCTGGACCTGGTCCTGGCCACAGGCGATGACCTGGTGAGGGGACTCCAGGTCCTTGACCACCTGGGTGATAGCGATCATCACTTGTTGGAATTCACCATCCAGCGCAGGGTGACAAGGGCTTGCAGCAAGGCAGTAGCCTTAGACTTCAAGAGGGCCAACTTCAATGAGCTGAGGCCATTAATGGGGGAGGCACTAGGGTCCTGGAGAGGAACTGGGTGCCCAAAATGAGTGGTCATTCCTTAAGGAGACGATACTCAGAGCCCAAGGGGTGACAATCCCAACAAGAAGCAAAGGGGGCAAGAGTGCCCAAAAGCCCCCCTGGTTCACCAAGGGCATTCGTGAATACCTTATTGCCAAAAAGGAGGCGTACACCCAGTGGAAGGGAGGGGCTATCACCAAAGAGGAGTATACATCCACTGCTCGGGTCTGTAGGGGAGCTGTTAGGAAAGCTAAGGCAGATACGGAACTAGGGCTAACATCAAGGATCAAGGATAACAAAAAGTCCTTTTTTAAATACAAAGGGAGAATGAAAAAGGCCCGAGGTAATGTGAGGCCCCTGCAGGATATGCTTGGCAATCTGGTGGTCACACCAGAGGAGAAAGCAGACCTATTTAACAATTTCTTTGCCACTATTTTCTTTTGCAGGGACCGTT